GCCCAGGGTGGCCGCTTTCAGAGCAGTGTGGCCCCAGGTCAGCTTTCAGGCTTTGCCATCATCCTTGTTTCTTTCAATTTTGGGTTTGACTCAAAGTTCCCTCTGAAGTCTGACAGGGAGGAAGCAGGAGAAAAGGATGATGGGTAGGGAGGGGCGCTTTTAAGCCTCCAGGCTTTCCTTTCACTGGAGAAGGATTGTTTGTTTTGGAAATTTTTTACCCTTTAAGTGGCTGCTGTGGGCCTTTGCTCTGTGTGTCCCATAAATCACTCAGGATTAACTCCTCAGAACAGGTTGCTGGCAGCTGCTGGGCATTGCCTGGCATTTTGAGCCATGCTTGCATCGCCCTGAGCTGCCAGTGGATTACAAAGCTCTGAATTGCCTTTCCCTTAACGCAGAGTGTAGGCGTTGAGAGCTTGGTCCTTGGAGGGAGGTGGACTTGGGTTTGAGTCCTGGCTTCTCCACATAGGAGCTGTGTGACCTTGGTAATTTACTGAACTTCTCCAGGCCTGAGTCCTTCATCCTGTGAGGCCGTGGTAGCTCTGCCCCTCCCTCATAGAGGCTAGTGTGAGGATTACACGCCATGAAGCTTGGGAGGTGCCCAGCCCGGTGCCCTGCACATGGTCATCGCTCAGTAGAGGGTGACGACCAGCGCTGTCGTTCTTATCATTGTCGTGGCTCCAAGACCACCCAGGGAAGTCCGCTGGGGAGGTAGGGGACGGTCTGTCTTCATGGCGGCCTGCTTAGCTACTCTGTGGCTTAAGGAGGAAAGGTGAGCGTCTAGAGAGGAGGGCGGCACCCCCATTAGATGGGATGCATTTGCTCTTTTGCTGCTGGGCAGGGAGAGTACTGATGTGGTGAGCACCTGAAAGGGCTGGGCACTTCCTGCCTCGGTGGGCACTTACTTGTTCCGGTCTCATCACTTGCTGATCTGGAGTCCTGGCCGGTGTCCTGAGAGTGGGAGGAAGAGGGAGCCCACAGCAGGAGGCCGTGCTGCAGGAGCTCCTGAAGCGGCCGACCTCCCTGCCCCAGTCTCCTCCCGCAGCCCTGGGAGGGTTTGCAAAAGCTTTGTAGCCAGGCCTGATTCCATAGACCAGGGGGCAGCTCGGGCATCAGAGCTTAATGAAGCTATCTGGGAGATTGGGGTGCTCACCCCACTTAAGACCACGGCCGGGAAGAATTGCTCCTTCACATGAGGAGACGGATGCCCCGAGAAGGAGGTGGCAGGCCAGCCTCGGGCACACTGAGTTATGATGGCACAGGGATTGGAATTCAGGCCTCCTGGCGCCTGTCCGGGGCATTTTTCCTCTCCCCATGCTCATTCTTTTACCATATTTGCTGTTCCTCATACGTGGTGGGGTCAGAAATAGCCAGCCCAGGCTTGTGAGCCTCTTCCCGCCGGAGGCCGGCCCCGCCATGGTCCAGTGAGCAGCAAGCTGTCGGTGTCCTGAACTCCAGGGAAAGCTTTTGGGGAAGAAAGAGGGGGGCTTGGGATTCCGGGCTGCAGCCTGCTGCGTCACTGCTCACTGCTCACTGCTCACTGCTCACCGCATGGTGCTGGTGAAGCCCCCCTCCTGTGCGTGCGGCGGGCTGACTCATCTCGTGCATGTGGCAGCTTCCTGGAGAGCCCGGGGCCCTCTGGCAGTCCCCAGGTCACCACTTGTTCCAGTTTCCCTTACGAGAGTCTGGCGTTCTGCCAGCTCGTGGCAGCCACTGGAACACAGTACATGCCACATTTGGTATTTGGTTAATACTATATAATCCTGATATAATCCCAATATTGTAACATCAGATATTCACCGACTGCTTGCCGTGTGCTGTCTCATTCATTCACCCAACAACCCTAGTGGTAGATATTGGTATTTTTGTTTTACAGATGAAGAAACAGACTCAGAGAGGTTAGGAGACTTATCTGAGGTCACACAGCCAGGAAGCAGCCGAGCTGGAATTGGAACCCAAGGTGTTCAGATGTGCAGGGGCTGCACTGTTACCCACTCCCGTTTCCTACTGCGCTAAGGAAGCTTCCTCCCTACCTTTGCTGCCTCAGCTGTGACTAGAACAGCCGTGTGGGGCCCGGGAGCCTGACCCCGTGTCTTGCATGTGACTGGAAATGATGTCTGTCGTGACTGGTGGGTTTTGGAAGCAGCCCCGAGCTCTGCATTTCTTAGGGACGTCACTGTTGCCGAGGTCCAGTTGTCAGCGCTAGCACGTGTCCTGGGATGGCCTGACATCAGTGCCTGCGCTGACGGTTCTTGACGGGGTGCCAGATGTGGTGAGCAGGTGCGTTTTTAGAGCAGTTCATGGCCTGTCTCACTTCAGAGTGTCTTACAGTCAGCCTGGAGGGTGTGACATGGTGGTGCGTGACTGCAGCGAGATGTCGCGTGCTGTGTCTTCCTTGCCCTCCCTCTCCCAGCCCACGTGTGTGTCTTCGCCCACTGAGGCCTGCAGTGCCGTAGCCCCCTGCTTCCTCTCAGTCAGCTCTCCCCTCCCCCGTCCCTGGTTTCCTTCCCTGTGACAGGCTGGGGACCCATCAGACCTCCTGAGGAATTCATTGACCCTCAGCTTCGTTGCCTGTCCTTCCATCGCCCCGAGCCAGCCCCCAGGGCGAGGTCAGCCTTGCTCACTGCCCAGTCCTCTGCTCTCCACGGAGAGAAATACCTCCCTACCTGTTCAGGGACCTCCACAGATTCACGGGTTTTGACTCAGTTGGGCTCTCACTCTTGACCCTCCATCCTTTCTCTGGAGAGATTGTTCTGCAGTGTATATGTGACCAAGGTATTGCCCTGCTTCAGACCCCTCGGAGGCTCGCTGGGCCCTGGGCGTCAAGGAGGAGCCCAGCAGGCACCCAACATCTGGCGGCTTCCTCTCAGTCCAGGCCCGTTCCCCGGCCTCTCCGTGGTCCAGCGGTCCAGCCGCGAGCTGAGCTGCTCGACGCTGACTCGGGTCTGAGCCTCGCGCCTGCCCTCCCCTGACATCTATGCTTGGTCTCACCGCTCTTGCTCACTCCTGAGCCCCGGTCAGGCCTCCGCTTGACACCACCTCCTCTGGGAACCCGCTCTTTCACCCCCACTCCCCCCCCACCACCACCGATCTGGGTTCGCAGCGTTCCTTGGCGCCGTCATGTGGCCATGCATATCCCGTCATGACATCTTGAAATCTGGGAATAAAACCATGGCACTTCTCTCTCGGTTGGGCTGATGGCTCTTGGTGAACCTTCAAGGGCAGGAGTTTCATTTGTCAGGATTTATTTCAGCAAGCAAAATTCAGAAGAGACTTTTAAAGCATTTTTGTTATTTAAATGCTCTAGTTATTTATTGATGCTGTTCTTTCTCAGTTCTTCACGAAGAGGAGACTTTAGTGTCTATGTTCAAGAACGGTTTCGCTCGCCTGGGAGGGCCGCACTTGCCACGGGCTGGCTGGTTTGGGGGCAGAGTAGAGAGCGAGCGGCCATTTCATTGACCACTGCCAGCAGGAGCAGGAGAAGCACACACAGAAAGGAAAGGAACAGCAGTTCCTACAGATGTGCAAAGTGTTAAGTCCACGAAACTTAGCTACCTGACACTTCTGAGAAGTTTTAGTGTCTTGTCCCTGGCGAATCCTCCCCCATCTCCCAGACGCGGAGTACCCGGTCATGTCGGTCATGTCAGCCGTCTCCTATGAGCCAGGGATTCTGTGCACTTAGCATTCAGTGAGTGTATAGTCGGGGCTCAGTGACTTTTCCCGAGGGAGGCAACCGCCCCTGGAGCGAAGGCCACCACTGCCATGGTCACTGCTGCACCCCGGAGCGTGGCCCAGAGTCAGAGTTAACAAAACATGGCTGAGAACCTGAGAGATTTCATTTAAATCACAAGACGACCAGAGAGGTTGCTGGATAAGAAATCCGTTGCTGGTCTGCCTGCCTGAGAAGTTGCGTGCGTGCACTAGTTCGTGGCAGTCTAGATGTGGGTGTAATAATAGCCTCTGGGTTTGGGGAGTTAGAATTACCCAGAAGGATTTTCTGATCTTTTCGCATCGAAGCATTCAGTTTGTCAGAGGGGAGTCTCACAGACACTGTTAGTTGATAATCACCTTGAAGAAGAATCTGGAATCCCAGGAATTTCTTTTGGAATCCTAAGCTTGATTGCTCTCCCCCTCCCCCCAAATCGTGAGGCAGAGGAGGGAGGAGAAGGAAATTGGAACCTCCACCACCCACAGTCCCGTTCTTAAATGGAACCAGTAATTGAATGCTGTTAAGCAAAATTAATTTGCCTCCTGCAGGAAGGTTTATGATGAATGAAAGGATTGCTAATGGGGAGGGAGCCAGGCTGCCCTCTGTGGTCATCAATATTTCATGGGCAAAGGCGGCTGCAGGAAGTTAGCTATCCTGGCTCCCCGACCTTGAGCTTTCATCAAGGTGGGACAAAGCCAAGGAGATTGAATTTAAAGGGCTTGTTACAAGGCACTTACTTGGTGAAAATCTTCTAAGTGAAATTTAAATTTGCAAGATGGACCCTTGGATTAATTGAATTTACACCCCCAACTAGTGGGGGGGGCACCCCCAGATGGGGCTCGGACCCACCGGAGACTGGTCCTAGTGGGAGGTGCAGCTCTGTCAGCCAACAGGCAGAGCTGAAATGTTTAACCATGGCCTTAGGGGGTGGGGGTGAGGGGCTGATTGGTAGTGTCTGCTGACTTCCGCGGTGTCAGTATGCGTCCAGCCTGGCCTGCAGCTGGGCCCATGTGCTGGTTTGGGCCCTGGAGCTGGGAGCCCCCGCTGCTCCCTGATTCTCCCTAGTGACTGGGGAGATTCTGCCCAGCGCTTCGGCTCTGGAAATCTAGCCATGCCCCGGGCAGGGCACAGGCATTAGACTTCGCCCCTTGACTGAGAGGGTGCCTGAATGCCACGTGCTGTTTTTGGTTTGTTTGTCCCTTTTTTTTTTAATTTATTTTTTATTTGTTTTTGAATGCAACACCCTTTAAAAATGAGAAGTTAATGAGCCTTTCTTTTTCTTTTTTCTTCCTAGCTGCTATTAATTTAGCAAAGCTGAAACTTTTCAGACATTATTACGTCTTGGTGAGTAAGAAAATTCTAAATCTGTAAATAAAGACCAGTTCCAGGAGTAGAGCAGAAAGACTTGCACATGCCACTCACAGCTGCTCCTTTGACTTACATTTTTAAATTCATTTACAAAAATGGGGTCACGCCCGAAAACCGGACCAAGGAACATGAAATGTTCATACAAGCATTAGCACCAAAGGCAGGATTTGCTATACATTATTAGGGACACAATTTCTTGGAATGCATAAGGTCCTCCTGGTCTAGAATTTGCTTCCTGAATCCTAAAAGAAGGTTTCTGAGTTGTCCTTTATATGTGGCTTTGGCATTGACTGTCACCTTGGACAGTTGTTTTCCTTCAAGTCTGGCTCCCCTGGGCCTGGTCCCAGTGAGCAGTCCACGCCTGAGTGGCCAGCATGGTAACCCCGGCTCATTCTCCTTTGCTGGCGGACTTAGTGTTACGGTGCTTCCTGTGAGTGTGGACCTTGAACGTCACAGCACCTGCGGGATAGACTGAAAGTCAGTCTTTTCTCCATGTGGCTTTATTTTACTATTACTACGGGAAAGCATTCCTCAAAGCCTGGAAATAAAAAGTATTACCCTTTGGGGACTGAAATCCGTGGGTTATGTGTGGGTAGAGCAAGGAAGGGGATACTCAGGAGTTAGGAACAGCCATACCAAAATGTTTTGTCCTCCCCGTGGGTGTGGCTGCCGTCAATATCTTGGTCACCTGGAGAGTAAGAAGCGATCCTTGTAAGTGTAGTCATCGCTGCCCAGTTTATTGTTAGCTCTATCAGTGTCAAATGACTTTCTTCAGGTAATTCCTTTTTCTGTTCTGTGGTTCATTTGAAAGCAAGCTGTTGGAAGAAAGTGGTGCCGTAACTTCTGGGTTGACTTTATTTTTTGTTTCTTTCCTCTTCATGCAGATTGTATGTTACATATACTTCACCAGGATCATCGCATTTCTCCTCAAATTCGCTGTTCCATTCCAGTGGAAATGGCTGTACCAGGTATGCTGCCCCTAGAGGACAGTGCCAGAGAGTTGATGATGGGGCTGTAACTTAAGGTTCTTGCAAATTTATCTGGCAGTGGCCAGTAAGGCCTCCCGTCTCTCCTGGTCTACAATTAAGATGATCTGTTTGTCCAGGAAAGCTGCTGGATTGCATGAGAAATCTGGAAGTAATTGCATTATTGATTTTAGCTTTCAATGTTAAAGTCTTTGAAGAGAAAAGCCTCAGGCAGAGAGAGTGAGATTTACTCTGTATAATCGAAACCTAGATGAGACGGGGTCTTCTCTGTCAATTATAGGGCTCAGAACAGCCTAGAATCCAGACCTCCCTTCTTTGCCCATTGTTATTGTTTCAGTAATAAAGTATCTTTGCAATATCCTAGAACTATTGGGTTGTCGGAAAAGTCATGACGTGTTTTTCTGTTTTTCATTGCAAAAATGCATCGTGACTTTTCCGACAACCCAATAGTTTAGCCACTAGGGTAAACCACCAAATGCTTAGAGACTTTTTTTCTGGAAGTACTCACTTGGTGTGCCGTAGGCACCATAGGAATTGTGGGTACATAATGACCCCTAAAACATAGCAGTGAAGACTCTAGTTAAAGCAAGGAGTCTAAACTGTCACCTGTGGGCAACCTGCTCCTAGCTGAGGCTTCAGCGCATCTTCTAAGGGGAAATACTCTCCTGTGTCAACTCGGGCCTTTGAGCGAGTGGCCATCGAGTGGTGGATTGCCATGGGGGTGTGTCAGCTTTTCTAGTTGGCTGCTTTCAGAAGAACAGTGTTGCTAATCCCTTTATTTTGGGGTGGTTTGAAATTTGCAGCTCCTGGATGAAATGGCCACGCTGGTGTTCTTCGTTCTCACGGGGTATAAGTTCCGCCCAGCTTCAGATAACCCCTACTTACAGCTTTCTCAGGAAGAAGACGACTTGGAAATGGAATCTGTGTAAGAAACCCCCTGTCTGCCCGCCCCTCCTTGGCCTAAGGCAGCACGGTGTGAATGGGAGCAGCCTGTCCGTATTTTGTTGGTAGGATCTCTGTTTTTAGCAGAAGGAAATGGGCACCCAAGCCCAGGCCCTGTCACTATGTTCGAAGCACAGTGTCTGCCAAGCATGGCCCGGTCTTTTCAGGGGAAGTAGAATGTGCCATCCTGTTAAGCATCCCTGGAGCCTGCTCCCAGTGACTCAGTGGCAAGAACATGGGTACATACTGGGCCTGTTCTTAACTGCTGAGGACGGCAACCCCACTTCCTGCTGGGCCCTTGCGTTGGGATCCTGCGTCTGAAAGTGTGACTCTCCGAGTCATCGGTAGGTCTGGTAATTATCATCCATCGTCCTTTATCATCAGATCACTAAGTGGCTTGTCACAGTAGCACGATGACATGACCCACATCTGAGTGTTAAAATGGGCTCCTCTGAGTCACAAGGTAAGTGACTCTAGAGTCCTATTTTCCAGGAAAGGGCAGTCATTTTTTAGAAAAGTGAGTAGTGATTGAGAATAGTTGCTTGTTAGCTGTGATGGGCCAGGTCAGTTGTCTGCTCACTGGCCTGAGGCTGAGTTGCACGTGCACTGCCTCCAGCGCAGTCAGTGAAGTGGCCTTTCGACTGTTCCCGGTTCAGAGGCTGAGCCTGGCCCCTGATGGGCTCCTCTGGGCTGTGGGCAGGTCGGGCAGCCAGGGACAGCTCTGGGCTCAGCTCTGCCATGAGACCAGTCAGCAAGGCAGACAGTATTGATGGGCTCCAAATGCCCCCTGTGCAGAGGAAGAGATACCTTTTGTTGGAAAAGTCATGATGTATTTTTTCTCTGTTTTTCGTTGCAAAAATGTGTCATGACTTTTTCGACAACCCAATAGCTAGTGGAGGGGAAAGCAGGGGAGTCATCAGCTGTGCCTTTTCTAAACGGAGCGGAATCTGAGCCAGTGACTGTTGGTTGAAGAGGCACAAATGAGAGTCGATCTGGTAAGCAGCAGTGCCAGAAGGTAACCTAAGGTGTGATGAACTCCAGCCCCTGCTGGGAGGCCTCTAGCGTTTCCCATAAACATTTCTCTGGCAACGTTTGTCTGGGGTAGGCGGCTAGAAGCTGAGTGGTGGGGTGCTAGCATCTTGCACTTGACTGAGCTGTGCTCCAAGATGGCCGTATCAGTTGGCGTCCTCGCCAGTAATGTTCCTGTCCCCCACGACCCATCCGTCAGCCATTGCACCTGGAAGTGTGGACGCATTGTGAAGGGACTTCGTCTCATGGCAAAATTTTGGTTTGGTTTTTGTTTCTCTCTGACAACATTTGATGGTAGTGGTGACAATTTTGGCAAGAGGGTGAAGTGGGAAGGGAAGGACAAGGGAGTAGACAGACTGACCACCAGTCTTGTGGGGACCAGAGAGTCTTTATTCTGGTGAGATGTGGGAAAGGTCCGAATGCCCTGCGGTTGCCTCAGTTCACACCCCTCCCCACCTCCGTTTACAAGGGAAGAGTACTCTGAGTACACTGTTGGCAGTGGCTTAGTAGGAGCCACCGTGTAACAGTGAAGTGAGCTCTCCTCAGTGGCCGTAAGGCTGCATACGTGACAGGGGGTCGGGGGGTGGGGACACAGGAAGGCGGCTCTGTCTAGAGTGGTGGCATCTCCAGGGAGTGCTAGCCCAGCTTAGCCTGTGACGTTTAGGAGCTGACTGAGGCCAAGTGCCTTTAAATCGGTGAGGAAATTATTCTGGGATGTCTCTTTAGCTAAGAACTGTTCTGTTGAGAGACTTACATGAATTTTTAAGATGTGACAGAGCGGAACAGGCCTGACACGGAGGCGCCAGCTGTCAGCCTGCCATCCGCGTTCACCTACAGGTGAGCATAGAGTGCAGCTTCTCAGGACTGCCGCCGTGCCCCCCGCTGTCATCTCCCTCTTCTACTTGGAAGTGCCTTTCCTGGATGGCACCCCTTAAATTCTCCGGAAATAACCCAACCTGAGGCCAGGCCAGCAGAGCCCCTGCCTGGGGTTTCTAGAAGGTCCTGAGCTCTTTGTCGCAATGTCTCCTGAAGAACGGAGCGAGGTCTGATCCTTGTCACAGAACAAAGCACCTCTTGGTGGAAAGTAATGCTCCTGATGCCTCACACACCCCAAGACCAATCCACGCTCTTCTGATGGGTCTTACCATGTGAGCTCGGACCTGGGCTACCCACTCAGCTGGTCCACGGAGCTTCTGGGTCGTTTCTCTTTTCACCTGCTCTCACCTCCTTTATCTGAAGCTGGACTGTGGGGATGCAGTTTATTTGGGGAGCAAGTCTTGTCCTGGGGGTGCATAGCTTCCTGCCTGCTTCCAGCCAGGCCTGCACAAGGGCCGAGCAGCTGCCGCCCCACCAGGACCAACACAGCCTCCCCTTCCGAGCCTGTGGAGCAGGCGCTGCCAGCCATAACACTGACTTTCTGTCTTTGTCTCCTTCTCTTTCTTTCAACTTCTCTCTTTGGACTAAAGCTCCCAGAGGCTTACCGATTTTGGTAGCAGAACCTATCATAAATTCACCAAGGTAGAAAGTATTGGCTGCAGCTTCAGTGACCACTCTTGGTAGCATCCTAGTGCTGTGCGTGGCCTCGGTGACCTGAACTGTTTCTGTCGTCTCGAGACGTGAGTGTGGGAAGAATCGTTGGGCGGGTTCCAGGGCCAGGAGGTTCTCCCTGGGCTTTCATTCCAGAATGCTGCCACCTTTTTCCGCTTCCACATTCATCCACGTGTATCTGCAACAGCTGTGGACACGGGACTCAGAGGCCAAGAATTATCTTTTAACTAGGCCTTTCCACATTTCCAGTCCAGAAAACAATTTTTAGTTTGGTTGTAGTTTATGGTTTAGTTTGGTTACAGAAACAGGCGTATCCATGGGCCACTGAGGCCCAGGCCACATTTCATTGTGATCTGTGGCAGCAGGAGTGATGGGTGTCTGAAGCCCCCATTCTCATCCTGCCCGTGTTCGTTAGGCCCTTTTGGGTGCGAACACAGAGACTCGGGGCTCTGCCAGGAAGAGGGGCCACCACCAAAATGTAGACGGCAGGAGGGAGGCAGCGCTGGGTCCGTGTGCTCTCTCCATCCCTCTGTCCTCTACAGACTGTCGGGCACTGACCCCCAGGGGGCACATCTGCCCGGCCCAGCATTGTCTCCCTCGCCTCAGGCCAGTTCCTGAGCTGCTGGCCCTTGAGGCCGGTGCCCTCCGATGTCAGGAGTGGCCACCACGGCTCCCGGTGCTCCCCTGAGCAGTCCCTGGGGGCAGGGCAGCCGGAGAGGCCAGCCTGGCGTGTCCCGAGGCTGCCTGTGCCCTATGGGCAGTTGTGGGCCGCCAGCTGGTGTAGAAGTCCTGCCCTTAGGAAGCCCCCAGGACTGCGGTAACAGTGTGACAGGGTGGAGACAGCACTGCCATCAAGGTGTGCACCTGGGGCCACGGAAGGGCATCCCACCAGCCCGGGCGAGGAGCTAGTCAGGCAGAGAAGGAATGAGCAGAGACGGGAAAGGCAGGCCTCGCCTCGCCGCTCGGGACCTCGCTGTTCCGGCTGCCATGGCGCTCCAGGGGGCCGTGCCTGCAACCCGGAGGATGAATCTAGACTGAAAGTCACCTCACTCATCGCTCACCTGAGTGATGCACCTTCCGTGCTGCCTGTGGAGCCTCTGAGAACCGTTCCCTGTGGTTCAGAGTGCTGGTCCCCATGGTGGCTTTTCAGCTGTTGTCCCCTTTAGTGTTTGCACCAAAACTAGGACACTCTGGGAGGTGCGTGCGAAGCTGCGGAAGCCCCACTTCCTCTGTCCCTGCCTGGGAGGCTTTGGGCGTCAGTCTAACCTCGGCTTCTCCTGTCACTGCGGCAGTGGCTGAGCCAGCAGGAGACTCACTAGCGCCATCAGCAGGGTGCCGGCGAGGCTCACCTGCAGTGTTTGGGCACCAGGTGGCCTTTTCTCTTCCCCGAGGTCTGCCTGGAGACAGGACGCCGCGCCCGCCCGGCATCACTGCCCTCAGGTGTCTTGATCTGCTTCCGTTCACTTGAGCAGCTCCCGCTCCAGGTGACACCCTCAACCTCATCATCACCTGCTCCGCCTGTGACATCCTTTTGTGCCAGCGCCCTCCCTTCCTCTGTCCTCCCTCTTCTCGTTCACAGCACTCGCCCACCCCCATGGCTGCCTGCACCAGTCCTCAGTGACCATTCCCCAGTCTTGCTCCGGCCCACTAGCCTCTCCTGGCCTTTGGGTCCCTCAGTCCACTGCCCACCGTCAGTCATCCCAAGCCTGCCTGTCCCCTGCATTCCCTGTGGGCTTTGATGGCACCGTCATCCACCCAGTCACTACCAGTAGAATGTGGGTGTTGGCCGAAACCTCCCTCTTGTTTGGCCCACGTGGAGCGAGTGACCGCCTGGAGGCCTAACGTGCGTCTCCATCCCTCTCCCCAGTAGCCCAGGGCCCTGCCCCCCTGTGGCTGGTGCCCTATGTCCTCACCTCTCATCTTTGTCCCTCCCTGTCCATTCTCCTTGGCTGCCAGAGTCACTCATAAGGGTGTATTAGAGGTAGATTGTCTGGCTCTCCCCCTGGAGACTTGATTCTGAATGTCGGGGGCTCAGGTACCTCTATGCTTTTTTAACTCCTGGGGCATCCTGCTGGAGCCAGGGCAGAGAACCCTAGTATAAGATTCAAGTCCACATGCTGGTGACATGGTAGGCAGGCCCTCCACAGCCCCGCCCGCCACCCAAGTCCACATGCTGGTGACATGGCAGGCCCTCCACAGCCCCGTCCGCCACCCTTGCCTCTCGCCTGCCACTTTTCGACACCATCATCGGCTTAGCACTCCCTGACTGTGCTGGGGAACTTCCTTTTGTTTCTTCCACGTTTCTTGTCTGTTCCAGTTCCTCTTTTCGGGAACTCCCCTGCCCTCCTCCCATCTCTCCATCTTGCTGCTGCGCCTCTTTCAATCCAGGCTCAGAGCTCCCCCCGGCCCCCAGCAAAGGGATCATTTTACTCTGAGCTCCATCTGCTTTAACAGGCTTTGCCTGTTGGAAGACTCTTCCGCTGGGGGCTCTTCCTCTGGGCTCTGGACTCCAGCCCCCAGCGCACTGGTTCCTGCTTTGTCCCTCAGTCCTTGCACCCGGCATGAAAGAGTGTGATTTTCTCAGTGGGTCCACCACCTGGAAAGGAATCTTTTCCTATGGAAAGAAAAGTGGTGGCAAGTGTTTTTTCCAAGCCCGCTGTCCAGGCCATACTCGGGTCTCGGTGACTGTGCTCTGCTCCCAGTGTTAGTACGTGTTGAACCCCTTGTCCCTTGTCAACAGGGTGCAGTAGCCGCTGAGCAACTGGCTGTCACTGGGAGTGTTTCTGGAAGACTTCCGGTTGTGTTGCTTCTCTGATCGTACACATTTGGAGAGGCGGGGTGGGTTTCTGCGCTGCTGCTGGGGAAGCTTATGGTTCTCTTCCACATGGCCGGGTCCCGCTCTGGGAGGGCCCCTTCGGAAGCAGCCTTTGTGTGTGCATTCCTCCTGGGACAAGTGTGATCGCTTCCCAGCGAGGTCAGGCAGGAGACCAGCCCCGCCGGCAGGGGTGCACGGTCCTTGGCCGAGGCCTGCCTTTGTCCGGGGCCGCATTTACCCCACAGTGCCTGCGGGAACCCCTCAGACCCCCCGAGGACCGGGTCCCAGCAGTACTTCTCATCCAGACTTTGCCAGACGTACAGCAAACCCACGAGACTGAGGGCCTGTCATTTGAGAGAAGCCCCAACTCGGGGAAGGACTGGATGGTTTCGAGCTCGGTCACAGCAGCAGCATGCGGCACGAATGAAGGAAGGAAAGCACAGAGAAACTTCCCTTCCTTACCCCATATGAAATCACTTATTTACCATTAGGGTCAGCAGGAGAAACTAGATGTGTCACATAAAGGGCCACCACTTCCCGTTTGTAACTCTGCGGCAGGACTTGGTCGTTGGTGGGGGGATAGGTGAGGGTCTGTCAAGTTGATTGACTCTGTTTTGCTGATCAGGAAAGTCCTGTTGGTCCGTGATGGGGAATAGGTGCCTTGTTTCTTAGGCTACTTGGGGAGATGCTGGGCCAGGTGTGTTTTGTTTTTCACAGACTTTTATATTTTTTTATATATTTTTATTTATTTATTTATTTTGGTGCCAAAACCCAGGACCAAACCATTTAACAGACTTTTTTAGAGCAGTTTTAATTTAGGTTCACCGCAAAATTGAGCAGAACAGACACAGAGACCTGCCCCCTGCCCCCACACAGGCACAGCCTCCCCCTTCACCAACACCCCCTCCAGAGAAGCACATTGGTTACACCCGATGAACCTAATTGACAGCCATTATCACCCAGAGTCCACATTGACATTAGGGTTCCCTCTTGGAGTTGTCTGTTCTGTGGGTTTGTGTAATGTATAATGGCACGTGTCCACCATGGCAGTGTCACACCGCCCCAGAATTCCTCTGGGCCCCGCCTGCCGGGTGGAGCTCCGAGTCTCTGCCTGGTGTGGAGCCACCCAGGTCCTTCACAGACACGGATCCTTAGAGTCCGGCCGGCTCACATGTGGTGAGGCAAGACTCTGTCTTCCCATAGACCCCGCCACTTGAGATATTGTGGTCACTCTCTGGAAAGGGCCGCCGTGCTCAGCTCCTCATGTGTCCGAGGCCCGCGTGCTTCCAGTTCTCATCCAGGCATTCAGTGAAGGGCTCCGAGGCACCGAGAGGAGGAGGAGGCACATGCTCGCTGACAGCCAGCCCGGCCTGGCCATCAGCACCGGGGCCTGGATTTGCAGGAAGCAGCCAGTTCTCCATCTCTAGGGGTCAGAGAATGTTTGGGCTCAGGAGGTCCCTTCACACTGGTGGTTCTGCCCCATGACTCAGAAATGCCCCATGTGGCTGCTTGTTGTTGGTGTCTGTAGCTAAGTAGCTTTCTTTTTCAGAATGTCAGTTATGACACAGATAGTGGTCTCCTAACCATAACTGGAGTATGAATACGCAACCTAAAAATTTGTGGAGGCCATGACAGAGAGAGATGTCGATTGTAATCCTAACAGCTGGGATGTATTGACTGGGCACTTTGGAGAACCCCGGTTTCCCTTGTGACAGTCCTGGGCACGGGAATTACTTGGTATACAGAGGTCAAATGCTTTGGCCAAGGTTACCCAGCCGGCCAGGAGCCGGTCAGAATTCGAACCCAAGTCTGTCTGATTCCAGAGCCAGCACCCTTCACCCTCCTGACCACCCTGCTGTGGTGAAGACGGCCTTTTACCTCACGACTGAGCTGCTTCTCTGTTTCTTTCCTGTTCAGCGTGACGACTTTAGGGGTGACAGAGAATATGAAGAAAGTGAAGAAGGTGACCAACGGCTCAGTGGAGCCTCAGGGCAACTGGGAAGGCTCCGCCTGACGGAGCGCCTCTGAGGCTGGCACCATCAGAGAAAACGTTCAATTGATTCAAGTCCTGAGGGTGAGCAGGAGCAGTTGGCACCGCCCGACAGTGACACCACGGAGCACGTGGCTGGGAGCAGTGCCGCGGACGCCTCCTTTTTCACTCTCTTTTATGGAAACTGGACCTGTGGCTGGTCATAGGCAGCTGGCATTCTCCTTCAGGTGGGAACGGTGGCGAGGGAGTGTAGCGAGGAGGAGGATAACAGGGGATTTGGTTTTAATTTATATTTTTTTAATTGGGAACTTTCAAGGTATATGCAGTGTGACCCCAAGTGTGTAGCAACATCAGAAGGAATGTTGGCAGCTGGGGGAGGAGGATGGACGCTTGTGTCCGATGCCAATCACAGGGGCATCTGTGTGTGACGTACAGAGAAGGGGAAGGGGGGATATCGCTGCATCTTTTGGGGACAAAAACTAATGAAATTCGGTTCTTTTAGAAAGCAAAGTCAAAGCCTAAGTCAGTATGTGGAGCCTGCCCCAGGACTCCTGGCCCTGAATGTCACCCCACATTCTGAAAGCGACCAGGAACCAACAGCTCTAGGACTCCCATCATTTTTCTAAAAGAGCTTTGTCATCTGAGTGCTGTGACGTCACTGTCAAAAGTCCTGGCCCTGGGACACAGCACAGCCTCGCTGGTGGGAAAGGGTTTGCTTGAGCGAAGGGTATTCCGTGTTGCCTGATGGATGGACAGAAGTGTATTTTTAAGATGAAAAAGCCTTCTCGTGTACGATTCCCCTGCATATCTGGCTCCCCGCCTTCCCGGGGCAGCACGGTCTTGTTTGCCTCTTCTCGTGTCTTCTGTCTACTTTGTGTGATTGGAATATGGGGGGACATGGAAGGAATTTTCCTTAAAAGAGCAGCCAGAGTCAGTAAAGGCAGCGTCGAAGCAAATACGTAAGTCTAAGCAAATCACCATCATGCAAAAGCCCTCCTGTAAGCCAGGTAGGATTTCTCAGCAGGAATTGAACAGACGTTGTCCCTCCATCCCAGGAGCGTGTGTGTGGAGAAAATGAGTGATTGTACAGTTTTCCTCTCAGGGGTTGGAGGTGGGAAGTCTTTCACAGAAACCTAATGAGGTTGCCTTGCAAACTTGCTGAGCTTGGGGGTGAACACGAGAGCTGCTTAAAGTGAACAGTATTGCAACTGAGTATTTTGAATCATGGAACTAAGCTCAGAAGGCCCATTGTGACTGAGGCAGAGCAAGCTTCGTGGTAATTTCCCACTGTGGCTCTGGTCGCCTGGGCCTGAGCCAGGAGACCGAAATGTGGCCGCGTCAGCAAAACTCCCTAGTGCCGGGGTTGCTGGCTGGCTGGGTGGCTTCCAGTGCCTGGGGTATCAGGGGCCTCCTGGGCAGGGACAGTGACAGTCTCTGGTGGTGGTTTTCTTACCTCTGGCTTGGAAGGGTCAGCCACAAACCACAAGGTTTGGGGGTGGCGCTTAATATCCCAGATTTGGGGACCTGAAGTCTTCACTCCGAAGTGGTAGTTGTCCCTCTCCTGTGCCGTGTTCTCTTCCTGAGTGACCCGTGAGGAAGCGAGCGTTCTCTTGATGCACTTTCTTTAGCTCTCTGTGCACTGCGCAGCCCGACCTGCACAGGCCTGGGCCTGGCGTCACGTGGGGTGGGGCAGGCATGTTTCCAGCCACTGCTGCCCCCTCCGCGGGCATTTTAGGGAAGGGTCCCCGTATCTTCCATCTCCAGGAGCACGGAAATCCTTGCAAAGTACTAATTAGGGACCTTTTTCTTTTTCTTTTTAATTTGGAGACGGGAAGGGAGTTTCAGGGAGGATGGGAATTTTTTTATTTTTTTATTTTTTTATTTTTTAGTTTCAGGTTAGGAATGTTTTTAAGACTTTGTTTTCCTACGTATAAACACTCCCAGCGTGCTCGCTTCGGCAGCACATATACTAAAAATTGGAACACTCCCAGCACTTCAGAAGTGTGTCCTTGCCTGCCACGGTCACCCCCCCGTTTAGGGCCCTTCTGTCAGGGTGGCGCTTTTACTGTTGGGCCTGCAAGCAGATATTCTCGACTGGGGCGTAGACGTCTTAGCAAGAACTGCAGCATAATGAGACCTCCTAGAAAGGGTCTCCACGGAGGTGTCTGTCCTTTGTGCGTGTGCGCGGGAAGCAAGGAAGCGAGTGAGTGAAGGCGTGAGGGAGGACACGGGGATGGGGACGGGGATGATGACGTGTGTGGGCTGGCGCTGCTCTCCAACCTGACCGCTCACCCCGAGCCGGGCGCCGCTCCTGCCCACTCTCCGAGCCCCAGCAGCCAGCACTGGGCTTCTCTGTGGGTCGGGACAGCTTCCAATCCTGTGCCTCTAGACTCCCAGAGCGGCCGAGGGGCTGCACCTTTACAGGGCTGACCCTTCCGGAACAAAAAGGCCAGGAGAGGTGTGGAGGTGGTTTAGAAGCGAAGGCTGGCCAGGCCCCCGAACAAGCAGCTCGCCCCACCCCCCATCCTGCTAGCAGATAGGCAGGGAACCAGACTGGCGATTAGGGAAAATCAAAACCCCAGCCCAAGAGGGGCAAGGCAGGCGGTAGTTCAGGTTTTTACAGAATTAGTCAAGCTCTCTATCCTGTTCTGTGGAAATGTCTTCTTCTGTGTCGCTTTGTAGCTGTGACTAGCATTCGGCTGGACTCTTGAGTCAGGATGACTGACCCGAGGCCAGAGCCCCATCATGTCACCAGCTCACAGCCCCGTTCCTGCAGCCCCTGGGGCGCAGGGCGATGCGGTTTCTGAAGGGTTAAGCCCTTTCAGTTTCTGGGGGGTCTGCAGGAAGCATGGGGCCATCATGTATTTATAGCCCCACTTTGTGCTGCTCCCCGTTTCTGCCTCCGCACAATATCTGTGCTTCCTCAGAAGTCTGCCGCTGGAAGTGCTGCTGCCCGTGAACCTTCAGGAAGCGGAGGACCCATCTCCCTTTAATAAAGTGTGTGTGTGCTGCAGAAAATGACTTCTTGGACCACAAGAACAATCATGGATCTCTTAACCCTGGCCCTTAACAGTGGCCAAAGATCCCGTCGGCCTAGTCCTTGGTCCTGGATGCTTTGAAATTCCAGCAGCAGTGCACTTCATGCTGCTGAACGTCACTGGTGAATTGGTGGCCCTTCTGCTGAAAGGAGAGGCTCGCTTAGTGGAAAAGGGGGGGTTTCTCAGATCATAACGTGAGTCACTTCAGTTTTCTTTCAAGAAACCACTTTAGACTACAGTTTCCAGGTGTTGCCCCCCAGATGTGTCCAGCCAGGCAAAGCAGGGCTCAGTCTCCTCACAAGCCCGTGGACAGTGTGACTGTCATGGCAGGATTTCCATGTCGCACTGTGATCTCATCAGGCTCTCTGCTCTGTTCCACAACCTGCCCTCCCCCTCCCCTCCTCCTCCCCCTTCTCTGAGTCCTCATCTCTTGATCCCACATAGGCTCAGTCTTGGGAATACAGGCTACAGGCTTTGGTGCATTGCAGCATTTTCCCCCAGCAGCTACGTGAAGGGTGCATTTTCTGAACTATGGGGAATTTTATCAAGGGAGCGCCTACTCATGCCATATATTATTGCCTTGGACCACGTATGATGTCTTTCCCTGCACTAAAATGTATGTTTTCTTTTGGTACTTAAGGGTCTCCTACAAGGAGCCGGTCCTTGCGGACCAAGGAAGTGTAAAAGATGCCCGTTCTGGTCATCGCCCCCGCCCTGGGCATTTTCTCCGAGGAAAGCCTTAGAACATCAGACAGTCTGATGAGGTTGTTGGCCCTGCTCCGTGCCCCCGGCAGAACCGCAGAACCGTCTATGCCTCCTGCTGCCAAGCTGCCGGGCGGCAAAGGCGGAGCTAATCGCAGCCCACCTCCCCCGAAGGCACACGCCACGCCTCACGCTTAGCTTTCCTCTGACCCACCCCTGGCCTTCTAACAGGTTCAGAATATGTCGAGCCCTTTAGGATTCACTAAATGAATGGCTTCCCCACTGAAGAAGTTAGGCTTTGACTCGATACCTCTCAGTATATCCAAAAGGAGTTCCTCTGGAACCCACCAACCTGCTCGTTACTCGGGTTTCTCTAGGGCGATTTCGGCAGGAAGTCTTTAAAACAGCCCCACCTGAATGGATGCCAATACTGTCACCACCTGGCACGATCGCCGTCCAGATCCCCCGGGGCCTCTGCAGCCTGGCGGTGCATCTGTGCCCTCTCTGTGTGGTCGATGCTTGGGGAGTAGATAATGTTTTCCAATGGCTCACTGCTAGTGCGTGGGGCGTGTCTGTCCCCTGAGATGCTGTGTGAAGGAAGCACACTGAGGGAGGGACGAGGAGGAGGCGGAACAAGGATTTGGTCCTCTCGCGCCAGGGACCTGTTGGGATTGTGATGGCAGGAAGTCTGCAGCCCAGCCATTTGGGAAGGAGACGGTCTGGACAGTCAATAAATGTCAAACGAAACAAAAGGGCTCGCTCACCCCCAAGACAGCCAGCTTCTTGAGAGGCGAGGGGTGAGGTTTTGGGGTGGCAGCCCCATCAGGGGCGGGGGCAGCAGCCTTCTTAGCACTTAAGACACATATTAACAAAAAGATCCAAAAGCACTGGCCACACAAAGGGGCTTTCTTGACACCGCACAGTATCTGCAGATCATAAATTAAATTGGATTTGCTTAGTCACGTGACCTCAAAAGAAGTCGGACACATCTAATCCAGGAATAAGTTTCATTTAGGGGAGAAAATGTAAATACCATTTGCTTTTCAGGTTAGATTGGAATGCAGGAGTTTTCAGTATTTTATTTTTAACACGATCACTGAAGAGTATTTATGTAAACATATAAGGGGTGGGGGCTCCGATCAGGGTGATGTATGGGACAGGTTCTCTTGCTGTGCTGCAAACATGTAAAATAAAGATTCTATGACGAAAATGTACGTTTGTAATCCTAGCAGCGTCGCCGACTCCGGGCTGCCATCTCTCCTCCACCTCCCTCATCATTTTTTCCTTTGTGATTTCTGTTCATTAAATTAGTTAACTGCCTCCCACCCGCTCCAGCTGACAATAGTGACACCTACTAGAGAAGCTCCTTGCGTCTTGCAGATCCGTGGCAGCTGCTGTGGAAACTCAAACGTGACTTCCACCCCAGGGCCTATATTATGGAGCAGACGGAACATCAATAGGAGTTTACTGGGGGCAGGGGCTGCCTTCTGAATCAGGACTGCTGTCACTTGAGGGGAGGTGACAGTGGAGACTTGGGGCAAAGCCCACACTGTGACAGGCTGACTTTCACTCTTCTGACATCTGTTATCGGGTAAGCCTTGCGAGCTATCCCACATCAGAATCACAGAAATCCAAGGTTTTAGACTCAAAGCATTTTTAGAAGCCATTTCATCCCAAACTTCTTTATTAGAAATGTTTTAAACCAAGGTGTAACTTACAAACCATAAAATTCACCCTTGTAAAATGTACAGTTGGGTGAGTTTTGACAAATGCATACTCAGTCTGCAGCCTCCGCCGTGATTGAGACACAACACCTTCATCACCCCATAAAGTTCCCTGGTGCCCCTTCTCAGTCACAGCCACCCCTTCCCTAACTCCCATGACCACTGTGGATTTCCACACCGTACGTTAGACTGCTATTCTAGAACTTCACGTGAATGGATCGTACAGTCTGTCCTCCATTGTGTCTGCCTTCTTCCACAGCACACTGGAGGATTTATCCATGCAAAGCCCTAGCTGTAAAGCTACAAATATTGGGGACTAGAGAAAGGTGTGCCCCCCCCACACACACACACACACCAGACAGCTAGTGTCAGCCAAGGTGAGAAGCCAGGCCTCCTGACTCCGACCTCGTTGGGGTGGTGAGGATGGGGTCGGGCCGGCACAGTAAGGCCTCTACTGGTTACTGTTCTGTTTAGAATAATGTTCAAATGATCCTCAGTCCTCCGTATCAGAAGTTCAGAATGAAAGGGGCCTTAGAACCCGTGTCACTTGGCCTGGGTTGTCCCATCAGTGGCCGCACATCGCCCACAGCTCCTGTTCCTGACCCTGTGGAGGCCTTGCATTTCCAGGGGTGTCTGGCGTGAAGCGTGAGGTGGAGGGAGGGGGCACTCTTAAGAGTGGGAGCCCAGCAATCAGGTGAGACTGCCCAGGATGAGAGGTGCTGAGGCAAGTCAGGAAGGGGACAGCTGAGAAAAGACGTGGAAAGGGCTTTGGGACCATCCAATCCAGTGGTTCTCAAAGTTGAGCAAGCATCAGCGTGTCCTGGGGGGCCCAGGGTTTCCGTCAGGCCCAGTGGGTCTCCCACGGCGCCTGAGAAGTTCCCAGGTGACGCCCTCGCCTGGTCGGGATTACGCTTGGACAAGCACTGATGTAACCGGGCCCTCCGTTGACTTGGCTCAGCCTTTCCGCTGGCGCCCGTGGGAGCACCCACCTCACACAGCGCTCCCGCTGGACCCACAGTCAGCGGCAGGACCCCACCCCCACCCCCCACCCCCGGCTCTGGGCCTGCCTGGTGGGATTGCTGGCAGGGGCTTGGGGGGCCTGGCCAAACCGACCCCCTTGATGAACACTGGCTCCCTCCTCCCCACAGCCAGGTTAGAGCTTTTCCAGTTAGAACTGCAGCTGTTCAGGCAACTGCAGAGGCCGCCGGAGCTGGGCTGGCCTTAGGGAGGCCCCGTGCCTGTGAGTGACCACTGCTCAGTCGCCTTCTGCGTTTTCTGTCCTAATGAAACAGCAGAGCAGCAAGTCAGGAGCAGACATCTGACCCAAATATCCTCTGCTGAGAGCAGCCAACCACCTGCCTTCCAGCCCCAGGACCCTCGTCAGATCCTCCCAGTGCCCGCTCCTTCACGTCACAGCCACCTTTGGGTGTCCTCGTCACCAGATTCACAGCCACCTTTGGGTGTCCTGCTTGTCACCAGGAATCTGGTCGGCACATTGATAACTGCACATCCCCTCAGGCTACGTAGCAATGAGGGTGGGGAGGAGGTATAAGAAAGTGCTGACCTCTTCCAGCAGACCTGCGCTGTCTGCGCCCCAGCTGTCCATCCCAGTTCCCCCAGCAAAGCCGCAAGGCTTCATGGGAGCCCTTCCACACTGGCCATCCCCCATATAAAGAGCCGCTGCCTCAGCAGTTTGTGGACTGGGTTTTAGGGGGTCGGTGTGACCTGCTGTGCCTTATACGGCTTACGCCTACTTTGCAAGAGAATGCTGACCTTCATCAAAATGAGGAATCTGCACATTAAAACGTCTGCAGGAACTGAGCTTGAGGCTCCTCATGAAACAAAACATTCTAGTTCATGCACTTGGGACGGCGTGTCTCAGAGCCAGGGCTCCACGTCTCAAGGTTTGAAAGTGATTCTCAACACACTCGGGTTTGCAGGGCCACAACTGAAGATGAGTGGTGAGTCTGGCCCACACCCCATGATGGAGAACATTTATTAGGGGTGCACTGTTGGGGGAAGAGTCAGCCGTGGGGGCAAGAGTTGAGCATTGCCTCCACTTTCTCCCTTCCTTCCCTCCCACCTTTTCCATTTTAACTGGCCCCTTCCCATCAGCAGTAGAGCTTATTCAAGTGTTCCCCATTAGAAAACAAGAAAAAGCCTCCTTAGGCTGAGCTGCAGCCCGGCCCCCACTGACAGGCCATGCCTCTCAGGCCTGCTTTCCTTTCCAATAACCCTAATTGACTGCAGTCTGGTTTCCACTGGCCAAAGACTTGTAAGCTCTTGGGGCTTGGTCGCTACCTGCCGTGACCTTAGCAACTTGTGGCATGGCTAGACTCCCCTCTGTAGACTGAGGCTCACCCTTAGCTCTCATGACGTGACATGTGCACCAACACCCTCCTCAATCCTGCGCCAGCCGGATTAGACTTTGGGTAGTTTTCCTTCCCCCACCCCCACCCCATCCCTGTTCTGTGGGTCAGGTCCACCCACTTCTCTCCCCATTGCCAATTTCCAGGCCAGCCACCCTTGCCTGTCACCTGGGTTACATCAGCTGCCAGCTTCCCGCTGGTGGCCTGGCCTCCAGTCTTGCCCCACTTCTGGCCTTTTGCTTAAGCAAAGCAACCTTTTGAAAGTGCTTGCCTACTGTATTAAGCATGGAGACACAAAGTTTAGCAAAGAAGAAACAAAATGTACGAAAATCAACCTATTTCTATATACTTGTAGTGAACAATCCAAAAATGAAAATGAAATTAAAACAATTTCATTTACAATAGTATCAACAAGAATAAAATATTTAGGCATCAATTTAAGAGAAAAAGTGTAAAATTTATACTCTGAAAATTAAACCATTGAAAAAAAGATCTAAATAAATGGAAAGTCATCTCATATTCATGGATCAGAAGACAATATTGCTAAGATGGTAATAACTCACCAAATCTACAAATTCAGTGCAAGCCCTACCCAAGCCCTGATATGCAAATACAAGGGATCCAGAATAACCCAAATAATCCTGAAAAATAAGAACAAAGTAGATGGACTCACTTCTTATTTTCAAGACTTACTGCAAAGCTGTAGTAATCAAGAGTGTGGTACTGGGCTGGCCGAGTGGCTCAGTTGGTTAAGAGCTCGCTCTAAGAGTTTGAGCTCTGAGCAACAGCAGTTTGAGTCCCGGCCCGAGCTGAGCTGCCACTGAGCTGCCACTGAGCTGCCAAGGTGGCAGGATGGCTCAGCTAAAAAAAAAAAAAAAAAAAAGTGTGTGGTACTAACAGAAGTGTAGATGTGTAGATAAATAAAATAGAATTGAAAGTCCAAAAATAAACACATTTATGGTCTGTTGATTTCTGGCAAAGATACCGAAACAGTTAAATGTGGAAAGAATTGTCTTTGTTTTCAGACAGTGGTGCTGGGACAACTGGACATCCACATGAAAAAAGTAAATTTTTAGCCCTACCTCACACTATATATGAAAATTACTTCAAAATGGCTCATACGCCTAAAACTACCAAACGCTTAGAAGAAAACACAGGGGTAAATCTTCATGACCTTGTATTAGGCAATGGTTTCTTAGTTTGGACATCAAAACACAAGCAACAATAAAAAAATAGATGAACTGGACTTGATCAAAATTAAAACTTAGGCGCTTCAAAGGACATCATCAAGAAAGTGAAAAGACAACCCAAATATTTGCAAATCATATACCTGATCAGGCTCTCATTTCCAGAAGATATAAAGATACAACTCAGTAAAAAGATACCCCATTTTTAAAACGGGGAAAGGATCTGAACAGGCATTTCACTTAGCATAATAATTTCAAGCAAGGTTCATCCATGTTGTAACATGTATCAGAATTTCATTCCTTCTTAAGGCTGAGTAACATTCCATTGTATAGATAGACCATATTTTGTTTATGCATCATCTGTCCGTGGATACCTGGGTTGCTTCCACTTTGGGTTTATTGTGTAATGCTGCTGTGAACATGGGTGTGCAAATATCTGTTCAAGCCTCTGCTTTTAGTTTTTGGGGGTGCATACCCAGGAGAGGAATTGCTGGAGCATATGGTAGTTTGGGGGTTAATTTTTTGAGGAATGGCCTCATACTGTTTTCCTCAGCAGCTGCACCATTTTACATCCCCACCAACAGTGCTCGAGGGCTCCCTTTTCTCCACAAGTGTTCTTTGCCAACACTTGTTATTGTGTTTGTTTGTTATTGTAGCCATCATAATGGCTGCGACTTGGTGTCTTCTGGTCTTGATTTGCATTTCCCTAAGGATTAGTGGTCTCGAACATCTTTTTCATGTGCTTATTGGCCATGTGTGCAACTTCTTCGGAGAAATATCTATTCATGTCCTTGGCCCATTTTTATTTTGTTTTAGTTTAGTTTAGTTTTAATGAACCGTCTTGGCCATTTTTAAGTGTGCAGTTCAGTAGTGTTAAATACATTCACATTGTTGTGCAAACATCACCACTGTCCATCCCCAGAGTTCTTC